TAATTTTCCTCTGGTGTCCAACAGATTCCTTCAGTGTAGGGCAGAAGGAGGTGAGCAGGATGAGGGAAGCTGTGGTGGGTATGGGGGAGTCTGAGGCACCCTCCAGAGGGGCTTGCAGTGCTTCTAAGGGGAAGGGTATGGAGAAGGAGACACGGTCACCATGACTTGGAAAGGCCGTGGAGGAAGTGGGAATTCAAACTCTGGAGTTGGATCGCTCATGGAGAGAAGGGCAATCTAGAGAATGAGCTTAACTAGGCAAAGAGGTAGGGGTGCTGCTCGCTGCGAAAGGGAAAGAGTTGGGGTCTCAGCAGAGGTTGTGGAAGAGAGCGTTGGGAACGAAAGGTGGAGAGAAAAGTGAAGACTGAACTGCATCAAGTGCTGAAGAGTAGACGAAGGAGATTAAAGATAAGGTAGGTAGAGTTAAAAATTAACCTGATTAATAGCTAATTAATAGATATATGGGAGTGCCCACAGTCAGAAAGTATTTGCTATAACATGAGAGCACCATGATGAGTTTGAAGTATTTTTTAAAAATGAAACAACCTTTCATTCAAGAATAGGAAAGAGTAAATTTCAAGTAGGTGGTGAATTGGAGCAGGCCAGGTGTAAGAAGTGGAAGTTTTGGGGTTGTCTCACATTGTGCACTGGGAGTCCTGTGTCAAGTCCTACTTCTACTAGAGACTGGGAGCATGGAAGACATCAGTTAGAATGTTTGCAAGCCTCAGAATCCAGGGCAAAGAGGGAATGGCTGTGAGTAAGGAAGCAGAAGAATGGCTTGGTTTCTTTGACAGTTCCACCAGAGGCCAGCCTACCTGCCTCCTTGGGAGCTCGTGGGAGAGGCTTTGCCTGCTAGCTTTTTCTGCAGCTGCACTGCAGCCCCATTCCGTTACATGGTTATTCCACCGACCGATAGTGAGGTTTCGAGTTCCCGAACAATGGGAGCACCGTGGGTTGGAGGTAGACCTGCACAGGCCCTTGCTTCTGTTATTACACTGAAGTCTATAAAAGAACACTCCCCGCATGTGTGTGGGGGTTTCTAAATGAAGGGGAGAGCATGCACGTGAGCATCTGATGCTCTCCCTTTTGTTTCTTTTTCAGAACTACTGTCAAAGCTGCTCTGTCCCACGTCCATACTAGTTCTGCAGGGTAAAACATAGTCTATGGCCCAGGACACTGGCCCCGAATTTCTATTTGGTGTGTGGTGCTGGAGCATTTGGTGTTAGCACTGAGTGCAGTCATTTGAAGTCAGTCTGAGTTCCAGATTACTCAGTTGCCCAAATGAGGCTGCCTACATTCGTTCCCCTATCAAAGCTCTCCCTCAACTTTTGACTGGAATCAGAGCAACTCAGTATAGTCAACCCATGTCGCTTGATGATGGGAGAGAATGCGTATCATTGATTAAGAAAGCAGGCCAATAATCATTAAGATTGAAATCATGAAGTTTAGTGAGCTGAAATATCTCAAAACCAGAATGCATGAGAGTAAATGGCAGAACGGGCCCGTAATGGTGCTGTCAAGAACCGCTGGTCCTAATTATTTTCTCCATAGTGACCCTGGGCCACATCTCTTTATTCCCTCATGTAGAAATGCTTGAAAATATGATCCCAAGAATCCACTGGCTTGGCTAGCATTTGAGAAAACAAGAAGAGTTGCATACAGAGCCACATAGCGTGGTAATCCAGGCCGTTCACAATTCAGAAGGCCATCTCTTCTTAGTCTCATCTTGCATTCACACCTTTACTCACATTGTCTGGAATGTTCTTCCTGAATTTCCAGTTGAATTAAGTCCTTGGGCAAATGAAATCATCTTCAGTCCTCAGCCTTCTCTCTATAAAATGGAGCTAAAAATAGTTCCCACTTCGTAGGGCCATTGTGAGGATTCGATGAGTGTGAATCCACTTCACACATATGACAGCATTATAACAATGAGATTTTCATTTTCCTCCAAAGGTCCCATTTTTGTTTTGTGAAAGATACTGTGTACTCATACATACTGGCTCCAGCTTTTTGTATTTTCTAATGGAATCTGGAGGTCTCCTATTTTTAAGCTAAGGAGTGATTATCCCCTCCCCCTTCTAAAACTTATTATCTCACTATTTTCTACTTTGTTAGTTATTCTTTCCTCACTGATCATGAAGAACCATTCTCCCTTCCCCCAGCCCCAGCCTCATCTTGGCCAATCAAGGAGCTCTACCCCAACCAAAGTATTCTTCCTCAAGACCAAATTGTACCTAAGGAAATACTATCGGATTGGAAGCAATAAAAGTATCTCCATTCTGTCTGTATTTTCCTGGATCTGCTCTGTGTTATAAGAACATAACTTCTGTTTGTATTTTTCAAGTAGAATTGGGTGAAGTCAGGTAGCGATGTTAGCATAAAATGTCCAATACGTAAGAGAAAGTCCTTGAATGCAAGGTGCTGCAGGAAGCTACATGGCATTTAGTGAGCGTGTCTATGTACTGGGCGTTGTGCTAATGCATTTCATGCTCATTGTCTCATTTATTCCTTTCAGTGATATTTAGGGGGAGATTACATTCTCCTCATTTAATGGACCGGGAAACTGAGGCTGGGGGTTGAGTTTAGTTGGCCAAGTTCTCCCAGCAAGAGGGCGGTGACACTGAGATTGGTCTCCATGTGTGGCTGCGATAGAGCTGGCAGGTATAAGTGGAACAGTGCATTGCTACCCTGTTTGGGGCGCTTTCCCTGACTTCTTAACTGTACCCGCAGAGTCAGACGTCCCCTTCCTCCCCGTGAGTGCTTTTGACGTTACATTGCAGTCGCTTGTGCCGTCTTGCCGTGCTGTCTCCCTCATTAGACTCCAAGGCTGAGGAAGGCATAAACTTCTTCTTACCTGTTTGTTGTTACATCACAGCCCTAGGCACATGACTGGTATTGAGTGGTGCCCAGGAATATAATGAATGAATGAATATCATGAGCATAGATAGAGCGCAAAGCATTTGCCTAGAATCTAAGGGAAAGGAACAGGACACAGTCACCAGTAGACACAAATTTATCTGCCACTAAGAACGCATTAGAAAAAGAAAGGAAAAAGGAAGTGGGAGAGGCTGAGCATTATTGGAAAAACAAGACAAGAAGATAGATTATTTAATTTGAGAAAGATGGGGGAAAAAGACACATGCCACGTATTTCTTTTCAATTAGTCCCATGTTTCTTCAATTTTAGTCTTCCATATTTTATCTTTATGATCATTGCCATATCTATGAACCAGCTATGATCTACTTAATATTTTTCTTAAAATTGGCTCACTTTTCAAAACAAAATGTTTTTATTGTAAAAGGAGTCTTTACCATGCTGTGATAAATGTGAAGTCATTATCATTTGCTTTAGAAAGTATACCTAAAATGTACCAATAAAAGAATTTATGCAAAAAAAAAATTAAAAAAAAAACTAGGTGATGTGAAAACAGGTATAACGATAACAGAAAAAGTGATTACCTTCTAGCAGGTACTGTTGTCTACTAAAGGGCCTGAGTTGGGAGTCTGTTTCTGTGGTTAAGAAGGATGGTTAAGAAAGGGTAGAACACTATTAAAGACTCACTAGTACCAAACTGAGGCTTTCTTCTTCATAATGAGAAGACTTGAAAGAGAACCGGAATGGAAATACTGTAACTTTCTCACTAAGTGATTCGAATACTTCAGTATCTTGTCTGAGTCCTCCTGGAAATTATCTCCTGCACCAGATGAAGCCAGTGCCCCATGGATGGGAAATGCTGTCCATGGACATAAGCGTTCTTGCTTCTTGAGCTCGATGTTTTAGTGCTTCTGAAAGCCTGGTGGTGAGCAGTTGCCCCAGCCAGGGGCAGGTAAACCAGGGTGGGGACGTGTGTGTCTGGGAACCTCTGCAAGCAAAGAAAATCTCCCAGAAGTCACTTCTCCAGCCCAGAACATTTTATTCTAGTGAAATCTCTCTCCTGCCCCAATTCACTCACTGCAAAAACCAACATAATTTATCTTCTGAAGGGAAAGGTACAGACTTCAGCTTGGTTATTTTTTTTTCTCATGCAGCAGCTCAGCCTAAGTCTCTTGAAGAAAAGAGGGGAAAGCCTGTAGCAGCTTGCCAGTTTGCAAGTTTGGAAATAAAAATTAACGTGGGCATTATTCCAAAGGTTGAGAAGAAGGTGGCCTGCATGTCCTTGAGAGTCCAAAAAGGTTTCCACATCGGTGTTTTCTTTGCCCTATTTCTGTCATAAGCACTGATTTTTTTAATTTTATGAATCTTAGGATCAAGAGATGAGAGGGTTCTAGATCCTCCTTATTGGAATGAAGGATCTAACGTTTGCTCAGCTCCTATGTGCCTGGCAGGGTGCAGGGTCTTCCCTCCCTGTTGCTCTCCTTACGATAACCTACAGAGGTAGGGACAGGTCACCCATGTTTTACAGAGCAGGAACACCTCTTCCAAGGTTACACGAACTCAAAATATAGAACTAGGACTAAACTGAAGTTTCCTCATTCTAAAACCTATGCTGTTCATATTGCTGCCCTCTAAGAGTCGTGGGAGTGGAACTGGAGATTTGGAAGGAACTTCGAGGCCTCTATTTCATGTTTTACTCACATAAGATCTGCTGTGGAGTTCCCAACAAATTCAGCCTCCACTTGACTCATTTTCCTGTGAGGCCAATCCAGGCCGTTCAGGAAGGGTATTGATTGTGAATGGGTTTTCATGGAAGCAGTGATTCCCCTCCTTCTCCCCTGTCCCCGAAGACCTCTTGACTCTACCTGGGTATCACATCAACGACCCTTGGAGTGAGGTTACTTTCTTAGCTTCCACACAAGGTGACCCCAAGTGTTTCAGTTTATATTAGATGTCCTGCAATGCCTCATGTGCTCATAGGTGGGGCTTTTGGGAGGTGACTGGATCATGGGTGTGTGATACTGGATCAGCCCACTGATGGGTTTATAGCTGGGTGTGATGTTGGGAGGTGAAGCCTGGTGGGAAGAGGTGGGTCACTATGGGCGTGGCCTGGAAGGGTCTGTCTCTCTCCTCCTCCCAGGCTGCTTCCTGCCTGCCATGCCATAAGTTGTTTCTCCTCACTGTGCCTCTCTACCATGCCTCCTTGCCTTGGAACCAGCTGACCACGGACTGAAACCTCTACCAACTGTGAGCCAAAATACACTTCTCCTCCTTTAACTTGTGGGTATTGGGTATTTTGTCCCAGCAAGGAGAAAGTAACCGAGACACTGAGAGTCTAGACATTTGTGTTATTTTGTATAGACAGACCAAGATAGGATTGCTTTCCTTTCTCATCTATAAACACGAAAGGATTTATTCCATTCTTTTCCTGCCTCTGGGATTTGAAAAGCGTTTTCCTGACCAAGGAAGCCATTCATCACAGAGCAGATGAGAAGACTCCAAAGTGATTTGTTCAGCCACACAGGGCCAAAGGGCTATGTTAGGCAGGCCAAAGGTGCTTGCTCCCTGGCATGGGAGAACAGCTTGGCCAGCACTGCAGCCCTCTTACGATGGCTCCAACCAGATGGAGGTACCACCCTTCCTGCATGTGGTATCTTTGTCTGTAGGGGCTTGGGACATACTAGGGCAGAAGGCAGATGGCTGGGCTTTCTCAGGCTGCCTATCTGGTGAGTAATGGTCCCCTGAGAGCAGCTGCTGGGTGCTGCGGACAGAGGCCAAGGCAGGGTGTCCACGTTTGGTTCTTTATGCCAATTTACTCTGCTTTTGAAGAAGACTTTCCTCACTGTGGGCCTTAGATTTCATTTTCTCTAAGAAGGTGATGGAAGTAGCAGCCCTTTCAGATCTTGCACATCCTGAAAAAGGGAAACATATACTAAGTCTCTGTCCATCATTGGATACTTGCTATGTGCAGCCCTGGGCTGATCATAGTAGCCATCTGCCTTCCACTGGGGTGAAGGAGTTGTCAGCCTTTGCTGTCCTGGGCTTGCCAGCACCTCTTTCTTGGATCCTGAATATTGGGTTCAAATTCATGGCTTCTTTCTGGTCTCCTCCCTGACCCTGGTAGTGCTCCTGCCACCTCTGGGAAATGTTCTGGTGGTAGTTGACCAGCCTGGGGCTCCATCAGACCTGGAGTTCTGAACTAATCCCTTCCTGGGTGAGTTTTTGGCAAGTTTCCCAACTGAATAAGTTTGTTGTCCTCTTTTAAGATTCTTTCCTTCTTCAGGGGGTTGCTCTGAGCCTGAATACAAGAAGAAAACTGGAGAGGCTGTTTGTAAAGGAGTGTGGCTAGGACAGACCACCTGGGTTTGGATCCTGTCCCTGTGGGTTCTAAGCCTGTGACTGGGGACAAGTTACCTACCTTGACGGTTAGAGTGGGAAAGTGACAGCACTTGACCCATAGAATGTTTGTGAGGATTAAAATGTGTGCGTATTGATCATTGAGAACAGAGCCTGACATGGAGCTGGAGCTCAATGAAAACAGAACTGCTCTTCTCACATTTTCATCATGTTTTCTGATGGTTTGGGCTGCAGAATGCAGAGAGGGGAGATCACGTGGGGCCCACCGAGGGATAAGCCAGGCAAGACCTCCGGAAGGAGGGAGGCATTACTTGAGTCTTGGAGCTAGGCAAAGGAAGTGTGCAGACAAAAGCCCCGTTGGGAAGCTTGGTGTGGCAGAGCATGTGAGATGCCCTAGAGAAAAATCTAGCTCTGAAATTCTGAGTTATGGAGTGTGTTTTTGGGAGCTCGCACATATGTGTGAGGTATGGTTTGGATGTGTCCTCCTGAAAATTGTTAGGTTGAAACTTAGCCCCCAGGGTATTCAGGGGTAGGGGTATCTTGGGATGTGATTAAGTCATTAGGGCTCTGCCTTCATGAAGGGGATCAGCGCCCTTACAAACAGGCCGAGGTGGGTGTGTGATCCCCTCTCCATGTGAGAACACAGCCAGTAGGTGCCGTCTTTGGAGCAGAAAAGGTGCCCTCACCAGACACCAAGGCTGCTGTTGATTTGATCTCGGATTTCCCAGCTTCCAGAATTGTGATAGTAAATTTTTGTGGTTTTTAAATGATCCAGTCTATGGCATTTACTTATAGCAGCTGAAAAAGACCAAAACCAGGTGTCTTTTTGTTTTGTCAGTTGAGGCCAGGCCCTCCCTGATCATAACTGTGGGGCAATATGGAGGAGGAAGAGAGCCAAGGATTCATGTGCAGACAGTCCTGGGTTTGAATCCTGCTTTGGTCCTTGTTGGCAGGCCTTTGAGCTAATTAATGAAGAGATTTCTTTCTCTCTCCCACTCCTCACCTTTTTGCCCTATGTCTCCATGTGTCTTTTCTCATTCTCTCTTTTCTCCATTCCCTTTCTGGAATGTAGGGCTGCTCCTGGAGCTGCCTCCCCTGAATACAGCTGGTTGCTCTGGCAGGGCACCAGGGAGGCGGTACCATGGGAGAAAACCCTAGGTGCCATTGAAATAGGAAAAACTTCCTAGGATTGGGAAAACTTCCTAGAATTTGTCTCTCCATGTGTGTTGTATCCAACCCAGAGTTAAGTCGGGGGGCAGTATAAGCAATTCAGTGCCACTGTTTTCCGCGCACTAGTTGTATAAGTGAACTGCTTCCTGCTCCACCACTGTGCCATTTGTGCACCCGCTCTGGCTCATCCACCTTAGAGATGGTTGAACTCAGGGCAGCGGAAGAGACTTGCCCAAGGTCGTACAGTGGCTGGCTGGCTGTAGACATCTGGGACTCGAAGCTGGTTTCCTTACAAAGAAAATAGTGTTCAAAGCAGTAAAATGGGCATTTGGATGTGGGGAGATGCTTTTCAGGGAGAGTAAACCTGTTTCACTGGGGAGGTTGATTTTTTTTTTTTGCATTGTTTTGGTGGTTTACTTCACAATGTGAGTTCCTTTTGGGGTCATGTTCATAACATCCTGCAGATTGGGTATTTCCCACCAACCTTTTAGATTTGATCAAAAAGATAAAAAAAGTCTTGAGCTCCAAATTTCCCAGTGAACCCTCAGCTTCAGCTCCCCTGGCCCTTTCAGGCCCCCTCCTGTGGCAAGTTTTTAAGTGTGATGAATTATTGTGGTCAGCTGCGGCAGCTGGCCATGGCCACCGGAGCCCAGCCCTTGGCTCCTTGGCCAGCCTGCCTGTCTCTGGCTCGCAGGCCAGCCTGCTACGTGCTTCCCTACATAGACTCTGTCACTACTGCTGCTGCATTCCCTCCGTCCCGACAGAGTCATCACAAATCACAGAAAGGACATTTCCACTTCCTGACTGCAGAGTGGAGCACAGAGGTAGGTGTTGCAGAGAGCTGGGAGAAATTGCTTTTGATCACCTGGGGCTGAGTCACCTCTACTGGACCTGCTGGGTCTGCAGTGCTTCTTACAGGGTGAGCTCTCTGGGATGCGGTGTTATGGATGTGCCTGGGACCTTGGTCACGCCGTGCTATGGACACAGCCAACACTTCATTATTCACTTCCTAGTTCAGCAAGCATTTGTTGAATAAAGTGCTAATCTCATGCTGCATGTTATGTGGATACAGAATTGGAAGACAGGTTCCTGCCTTCCTTTTTTAAGTTCTAGTTGAGGAGTTGTAAGCCTATGGGAGACACATCATCAGGCAGCATATTAATTCATATAGTTAAGTGCCTTCTGTAGGCCAGGCATTGGTTTATCACAGTTGAAGTTCATTGGTCATTGAGCTCAAGGGATTAGAAGGAAATATCTTAGTAGGGTGCAAAGTTTCGATATCCTAAGAGCAGCTAATAGTTATTCATTACCTGCATGGTGTAGAAGCAATGGCTTCTATTCCCCTGTGGAGGAGGGACAATCATCAGCCCGCTTTGTACATGGGCCTGAGGCACAGTGAGTACAAGAACTCTCCCAAGGCCACCAGTTGGTAGTAGGAGGGCTGGGATTAAACCCATATCTACTTGACTTCAAAGCTTCAACTCCAAAAGGCTGGACTGTTCTGAAGAAGCAAAGCTGGAATTTGAAGAGCAGGTAGGGCCATGGAGATTTGTATGGGTTGAACATTGTCAGAGATTTGAGTTTTCCTAAGTATTTCAAACTTCCCTTCCATTTTAGATGAAAGGAAACTGGTACCAGTGTAACATTAACGCACCCTAGGCCTTCTAGACTGCCCAGCTGTCCAAACCAAGGACACTGATATCTAAATTATTAAACCTATTTCTGTAGAAGAATAAGCAAGAATCTGATTCCATCTTCCTGGGCATCGTCTCCTCCTGCATGTGATGGCCTAGGCTGCCCACCTCCCCCTAATCCGACCGGGCCGTGTTAGGCAAATTCTTTGACTCCACTGAGACTAACTTCAGTACAGGGAGGCTGAGAATGCTGGCTACCTTTGTGGGTGTGGTGAAGATGAAATAAGATAACACTGAGCGCATAGTTTCTAGAAATACTAGCTTTTCTTTCTTTGTGTGTGTCCACTGCATATTTTATTTGAATATATTATGTAACCGCACTTTCTTTTTTGTTGCTTTCTTATTCCTCTGTACATTGTACTTTGTTTACATTTTGATACCCTTTGTAGTGTCTAATATCTCCATGGTATTTTTTTTCACCTTGGGGAAACTAATAGAAGGCCTGAAATATCTAAGAGGCAAAAGTAGTTACGTGCCTGAGAAGAAGGTTCCCTGTGTGCTTTGGAAAGTGCTGAGCAGGAGCGCCATTAACCACTTTTTAGTAGGCATGGGATAGGGCCAGGCATTAAAAAAAATAATGGAGATGTTTAAAACTACAAAGAAGTAGAGGACTTGTCCATCAGTTAAATTAACAACATTGTTCTAATCTTGTTTCTTAGTATGCTTCTCTTTAAAAAAAAAACAACAAAACTGGAATGTTTTAAATGCAAAAATCACATCCTTTTGCCTGTAAATACTGCACCCCTAGGTTTAGTTGATGAAGACTTACAATTATTGTGCTTAGGCTGGGGATTTAGCTCAGTGGTTTCGCCACCTGCTGCGCAAGCACAAGGACTCGAGATCGATCCCCAGTACAAAAAAAAAAAAAAAAATTACTGTGCTTAGTGACATGTACAATAATTCCTCAATATTGTCTATAGCCAGTCATATTTAAATTTCACACATTGACTAAAAAATTGCCTATTAATGCATCATTCATGGAAATCAGGATTTAAATCAGGTTCACACATTGTGTTGGGTAATTAT